TGTTCATAACAATTACATACAAGTTGATAATACAGAATAACAGGTATTATTTTATACACACACATAAATCCTACAAAAATGGCCGACGTCGACATCCATTCTTATCACTAGTCAGCAATGGGTTATCAGTGTGATAACTTATCACAAATGTTTTGTATAATACATTTGGCAACAAGATAAACAATTTGCCGTACACAACATATTGTAGTGATAACATTATTACAGTAAAATAATTATTTACCGTTTTGCATACATATTATTATCGTTATTATACGCCGGGATTATCGATAGTCGATACACGTATAAATTATATTATATTATCATTACAAATATAATCGTATGTGGAAAAAATAACGACGAAAAAAATGAAATATCATAATTTTTAATAGTGTGACGCGTTTGTTTTTTTTTTGTACAAGAAAAAGTATGCCGTAAATCAAACCGTGAATAAAATAATGATACCGAGAATTATTTACGTGAACGACTATTAGCGTTTTGAGATGTATATATATATAGATGTATACGAAGACGTGACAACTCTTCGGAAATGTATAAAATAATTATTATATATATATATATATATATATAATTTTTTATTTAAAAAAAAAAAGAAATGACATTCGAATAAATTAAGGTTTTTTTTTAGCGGAGAAAAAAAATTTGGAATTTCACAAACCGCCGTTAAAATACATACCACAGAAAAACGTATTAAGGATACCCGGTACACGGCGCACAATACAAATACCTATTACTAGAATTATTATTATTATTATATTGTGTCAGTTGGATTTCCGTTTAAAAAAAAAAGTAGGTACAGTTTTTTATTTGTCTATAGTTTCCACACACGCGAGCATCGTTTAAGTACCCGAAATTTGTATAGGCGAGAGAGAGAGAGAGAGAGCCTCTGGTCACACTGAATAATTCAGACGGCATTGAGTTTAATTATTTTTTGGAAAACCTGAAATTAATAAAAGTATATTTAATAAATCGAGCGCGATAAATAGCGGTTGGTTTTTTTTTTTGGCTAATTAGTATAATAATATTATATTATATTTTTTTAATATGATATGGAAGTTTAACGTTAAAAAAACTGAATCGATTATTTATTTAATTAACCATTTTCTCGGAATACCAAGAAACGGTGAATCATATTATTGGCTTGCTTGAAACCGGGTTTTTATAGATAAAATAACACACACACAAATCGTACCAACTATACTTAGTAAGCAAGTCTTGTAAGCACTTTAACGGTGTAGAACCGGGGGTTTTTTTTTAGACGGAATTGGTTTTTGGTGGTTTTAGGTGTTTTAAAATGTTGACAAAATAACTTGTTCAAGGTTGAACAAGTGGTAACTGTAAACGAATTCGGTGAATGTCAGTTATACTTATTTTTAGAATAAAGTAATTGCCAATTTATCGTTTCTAACCGAATCCTATTAATTATTAAACGTTAATTTGTTATTATGATGTCAATAAAATGCATAACATATCGGTTCTTTTTGGTAAGAAACAATTGCCTCAATCTCAAAAGTCCTAAACTTGAAATTGGAAAAAAAAATCAATGTTTGTAATTTAAGTAATTTTTGTAAAAATATAATAATATTTTTGTTTGTACCAATATGGTAAGACTATTCAAAATGTTGCAATTGACATTTTTTAAATTTTATTTAAACTGCATACAAAAAAAAAAATCTTAAAATCTTAACTTAAAGGTTAAACTGTGATGTGTAATTTTAAGTTCAGTAATCAAGAATTCTTTGACGGTGGTTTAAAAAATGTTTTTTATCTAAACATGTTCCGCACAAACTAGAAAATATGTACCCTTCAAATAGATTTTAGAGATAAAACGCCTATGACAAAAAAGATAGGGGACAAGATCTCCTAGGAAACCTCTTTTATGCGTTTTCTATAGAGACCGGAATTATATATGCATTTGCATGTTCATACTGATCGTATGTGCACAGTAATGAGTGTTTGAAATGTGGGCGTTTCAAGTGAAACTGATTTCTTAGACCCAATTTTAGGTTCCCTAGGAAATCTCGTCCTTCATTTTTTTTTCATTATGGGCTTTATATCTTCAAAATCACTTTAAAAGGTACTATTATCTGTTTTTACCATTGAAAATCCATCGACATCATCCTTTTCATCTGAGAAAGTTTTCTTTGGGCATTTTTTTACGGTCGACGTTTATCGTGTACCACCGGAGGTCAGTTTAAATTACACCACTATTATTATTATGATTATTGTACATCCTCTACGACTGCCATTGTGATAAAATATAATAACAACAATTTAACAAAATGAGTTTGGGTCGTTACACGTCGACGGCGGCGGTAATTAAACCACTTTGTGGTACCGGTTAATTATTGTGATTTATCAGCCTTCAAGCACAATATAGTATAAAAAATACCGAAATAAAATAAAATTTAATAATATAATTGACACACACATCATCGACGTGGACATACAACAAAAATTTAAAAAATTGGATAAAAGCATTTAAGATGTGGTCCTTTAGACACGCATGCAAAAGATTCACTGGATGGATAGAGTAAAATGATATAGTTTAATAATATAGTTAAATGATAGAGTTAAACGATATAGTTAAATGATATAGTTAAACGATATAGTTAAATGATATAGTGAAATGATAGAGTTAAACGATATAGTTAAATGATAGAGTTAAACGATATTGTTAAATGAATCAAGTATTACATCAAGTAAATAAACAAAGGACAATGATAGATACATCATAAAAGGGAGAAAATTACAACGGCTAGATCACACTGTAAGACATTACTAGTCCTACACAGGTAGTCCTTTTGGAGGAGGAATTATACCAGGAAACATAGAAAGAGGACGAGACCCGGAACAAACTCTAGACCACAGACATGTGGGAAACTGGACCAAAATAAAATATAGATATTAAAAGGAAAACAGAAGACAGAGAGCAGCGGTGGAGAATAGTCGTGCGAAGACAATACCAGTCTCGGAAGACACGTAAACAGTTTGTGTATTTACATATAATTATAAATGAAACATATTCATTAAAGCTGACGCATGAGTAAAAAAAAACAAAAAATTAACAATAGTAATATATTTATATATATATATATATTATTATTCAGAGTATAGTAGCTTCGGTTCGGTTAGCGGAAAAACAGTTGATAACGTTTCGTGTTAATTCGTTACACATAATATACGGTTATTATTATTATTAACTATTATATATATATATATATTTTTGTCGAGATTAACTAATTCGAACGTATTAACGAGTAACCTATTTGAGACCTTAAGATTCACGGCAAATAATAATAATAAATAACGCCTTGTGTTTTTACCAGGAATACATCATTTGATCGTTAGCGCAGCTCTGCTGGCGCAACCACTTATTGGTATATTATATTGTAATATCTCTTTATAATAATAATAATACTTAATAATATTGCCGGCAGTGCTCGAAAGCCAACATTAATGCCTAATATCGTAATATGTTTTCACATTCAATATTAATAAAATCGCTCAAGGCCCAAGGAGTTTGGTTTATCAAATGGCTAAAACATAGGCAATATTTCACTTTAATTTTTCTATGTTTGTTGGCGCACAATCCTTTGGCACCGATTTGATGGGTGGGTGGGGGGGGGGGTTTAATCATCCTTGAAAATTTCAAAATACATAATACAACCTCTCAAATTCACTGTCACATTTTTGGGGATTTTGGGTGTATTATCAAACCAATCGGTTTATACATTATATTTGTACGGTCAAACGGATTTGGCAGAAGGTGAACGTTACACATTGTAAACGACCTGAACCAAGGACTGCTCTCAATTATTAGCCATCTCTAGCCGAGTTTCTTCTTGTGGCAAATCGACAACAATCGAATAAGGTCGAAGGTCAGAGCAGCAATTGAAGGGTCCCAGATTCGAATCCAAGCACAGTCTATGGTGGTCCATTCAAATTCTACAACACCTATATAACAGTTTATGGCAATTAGCCCCTTTTGGGCCTTGTGTATAAACTTGTAAAACAGTTTGGCAAGTAACTTCGCGTTTAAGTCTTTATCGCCATGAAACTGCACTCACTGGACCTAACTCCTTAACGAATAAGGATACCCCCTACCTATTTATTAAGGCGAGAATGGCGTCTTATTAACGGCTCTGAATCCGTTGAACCCTTTCCAGTCTCCGTACCGTTTGAATATTCATAATGAACAGATTATAATATTATATAGGTACATACATAAACCGCCGCCTGTGTGAATACATAATTGGTCGCTATCAAAATATTATAGCAGTAATATTGTAACGGGGAAGGATAAACAAAAACCGACACAATTGTGTCAATTGTATTTGCGAGGCGATTAAAATGAAAAAAGAAAAGAAATTGATTACAATAGAACGTCACTGTCGTTTTATTTAATTTTCTTCGATTAACCGCCTTTTTTTTTTTTTTTTGTCCCCTTCCGTTTATTAATAATAATAATTGTCAAGACGCCCAATACCGACTTGCTCGCAGCGGTTTTTTGTTAAAAACATTTTTAGCTTTTATAATGATTTCTATTAAACGAGCCCGTCAAAATAGCAAACCGGAGTATTTTGAATAATATAATAATTACACCCCACGTTCTGTAAATAATACATATTTTACAGCTATGCGACTTACGCACTGTCATATTTTGTCCATTTTAACAGAAACAATTGTTTCGATTATCGATTTCAGTATGACAAATATCACAATATTTCACTCGCACCACATTTGGCTTTTGAACGACTCAAAATACAATATCCGATTTTTCCGCCAAAACGCGTACCTAAGTTTGTATTTTTATTATTTGAAACTTACAAAATATTATGTAAATCTTTTTTTATACTAAATGAGCAATTTTTTAAACAATTGTACAATTATTTACACCGCACGAGGATGTGGTTAAAACATTTTTTTAAAAAGAATGGGGGGGGGGGGGTGAAATTGTTTTTCAAAAAATCGTTACTCACCGTGTGGTCGGCGGAACGTGGACGCACACGAGTAAATCCACACGTCCTCTGTTGCTGTCGCAGGACGGTTTTGCTCTCTTCAAACGTCGTCCGTGGTCGGGGATTGGACGAGAATAAAAAATCACACACACAGACACGTCTCGTTAACCGCCGGTTATTTTTTATTATTATTTAATATTGTAGCGTACGCACGGACCGCAAACGTCCAAGAGACGTCGTCCAGTACGAAACGGAGACGACCAAACGCGTCGCGTACGTGTTTGCCGGGCGCTCGTGTGTGTGTCGTGAACACGTTGCGCACCGCCGGTCGGTTCGGTACGGAGTGTGGCGGCAACGTGACGGCGACCGGCACCGGACGACACGAGCAGCGCTGAACAGACACTGGTGTCGGCCGTTCGTGAAATTCCATAGGGACCCGTTACGGAATTCGTTGGAAGGGCGCATTCGGTTGGCGAGCCTACGCCGATTTGTGTGATTTATGTGTTCGTGTTTGTAACGCCCGTCGTGAAAACAAACAATTTTTTTTTTGTAAATATAATACATATTTTATTGTGTGCGATTAATTTGAAAATTGTAAAAAAAAAAAATACTTAATTGTAAAAATGTTTACAGATTTCAAGTTTCAAAAAAAAAAAAAAATACCTATTATAAAAAAAAAAATAAGTAATAAGTATATAATTCATTATGGTAGTATAAAAAGTTATTATTTTTTTGTTCTTCTCTTAAGAATATATTGTTTGGATAAAAAGATATTTTTCCTTTAGATTTTTAAACCCGTTTCTAGACGTGGTTTTCGGTATAGATTTTTACATCGAAAGTTGCCCCCTGGAAATGGAAATCCAACAAGTTTAAATGGACGGCGTACCGTTTTAAAATAATCGTATAAACGTGTTTATGGAAAAGAGTGTGTGAAGCGAAAAGGTCATATTAAAAATAAAAAAAATACTGATACCGTTAAAAAGAGAACAACTTTAAGTGGGTTCGGTCCGACGGGTTTTTAGACAACTCGAATTATACGGTAAAAACGAGCATTTAAAAAAGTAAAAAAAAATGTAAGAATTAAAAAAAAGAGGTCCTAATTAATGAACTAATGATTACAAAACACAGTTTAACGTTTGAATTAAGATTTTGCAAAAATTTGCCTGCATCTAACTCTATTAATAAATAGGGCGACGTCCTCTTAATGCCAAATGCCATTCGATATGGTCGTGACAGGGAAATAGAAAATACTTATATAAGTAACAACCGACGGCCAAACTTTAATTTACAATAATATAATAGGAAAAATGTCAAATATTTACAAATGGGGATATGACGTTCTTGTAAATGTGTACCTATATTTTTTTAAGTTTTGTTTTTTTTTTCGTTAAAAAAATGCACGAGTTTTAAAAATATTAATTTTTTTATAGGTAAACGCTCAATCAGATGACTACCCACAAAAAGGGGAAAAACAAATAAGTATCCTAACTCTTTCCCTAAAGTAACAGGCTAATTGGGTAGATAATCTGAGCACTTCCTATTAAAAAGTGAATATATATTTAATTTAAGGTATAATGTGAATATAATACTATAGTGTTACTTTTTAAATACAATTTTTAGAATATTCTTAAAAAAAATTTATTTAAAATAAGGATGCTGTGATCGACGAAAAATAAATAAACTACCAAAAAAAATAAGAGATCCACGCACATTGCGGGTTAAGGTTTAAATTAAGATTTTGCAAAAAAAATGTCCTACACCTAACTCCTTAATAAATAGCGCCTAACCTAACCTAAGCTGTGTCGTCCTCTCAAAAATTCAAAAATCGACTTGTCCGTTTTTTTTTTTAATCGACCACTGCGATGCGCCTTCGTGGTGGACGTCCACGGGTGGACGTGGTACGTGGACAGTCCGGCCCGTCGTTCTCGGCGTATAATATTATGTATTATTATTATTATTATTTTATCCATATGCCGATGCGTGTGCCCGTGTGCCCGTGTGCGTGTATTTGTGTGTGTGTGTGTATTTATACAACTATTCCCGGAACTCCTACGCACGCTCAGGAGACCTTCAGCATCTATTCTCAGAACCGCCGACCGCCTGCTGCCGTCGTTTGGCCCACACCGCTGTCTCCGCGTTCCCCTCCCCCCCCGTCCCTCCACTCCGTCGCTGTCTTCGGGCCCGATGTTCCCATTATTAATGCCCCACTAGACTATAATGACATTAAAAGGTTGTATGTACACACACACACACACTCACGTGTACACGTAATGGTATAGGCCGGGTGTCGCGTACAGTATAACGCCAGAAGAAGAAAAAAACCGGGTCCCAGGTGTTATCGTCGGCCGTCGTGTGCCCGCAGACGACGCAGTCAAAGGAAACTGTGATCACATTATAATGACGTGTACGTACACGACCAGACGGGGGACGGGCCGTTGTTGCGCGCTGCCGTGGTCGGCGGGAGAAGAAAAATGTGTGGATGCGTGTGTGTGTGTTATATTGTGAAAAGGTCGTCGCGGTTATGCGACGCCATTGTTCGAGTGAATCCCCGTAACGAACGGCGTACAAGAAAAAAAAATAATCATAAGACAGGATGATCCATCCGATGTAATACGCTGGTTTTCTGGGAAGATATGAATATTTAAACAAAAATTATCAACATAAGTATAACGAAATCGATTTCAATAATTTTCAACTTCAATGACCATCTTATACTAAGACTATGTTGTTAGTGTGATAGTATTAATAGTGTAATAAGACTATGGTCGACAACCGGGTAGTGAAAAAATTCGATTTTGAATTTTTAATTTTCCATTAAGCGGTTCGTCACTTACGAGTTATTACTTTGGAAAGATTCGAATTATTTAAGATCAACGTTCGGTCGGTTTTTTTTTCAAAGACAGTAGCTCAGCGAGTTGCCGTTAAACAATTAAATCGACCCCCGTCGATAACACTCGTCACTTGATAATCATAGACATAAATAAACAACACATTTTTATTTGTATTTGTTATCGATAAGCGATTGTTTACCTATCTGTTTTGAGATAATAATAGACGAGCGGCTAATATAGTCATAACGAAAAACCATTTGATAACAACATCATGGCGAACGAACAGATTAATGAAAATTAAAAGTTCAAACGGTAACATTTTTGTCTACATATTTATAGAATTCAAAACATAAAATGTTCCCATTTGAAAAAATCAAGTCCATACTTTTTTGTAGATAAAAATGTTCAAAGTATTGTACAATGTAGTAAAAAAATGTACCTAAGAGTATGCGAAAACTACTTATTTACAAAATATTCATATTTTCCGAAACAATTAGCGTCTTACATCAGATGGATCACCTTGTATACACACACACACAACGATATCGAAAGGGTCGAGTGGTTTTTGGAAAAACCCATGGGGGTCGCAGTCATCCCTTCAAGAGTGTCGTGGGTGCGAAAAACTTGTATAGAAACTGAAACCGTTCCTCTTAATCCACTCTCTAACTTTATCAACGTTGACAAAACACGCATGGCTTTTCTTTATACTATTTTTATTCCAAACCCAAAAAGCATTTTACGTTGTTCGGTTTCTTAACTTTTTTTTTTTACCTCCGATGCGTAATGTAGTGAACTAAAGATTTTGAAAGATATTGAAGGTATTGATTTTAATACGGCGAGCGTTTATTTGTCAATTTTTTGCGTCTGATCAAAGAAAAAAATTCTATTACAGATAATAATTAAAATAGTCAATTTACCATTAAAAATCATCGATGAGACGTCCTCTTAAGTGTTCAAAAAACTTTACTTGAGCTATAAGTATTTTTTTGAAAATTGCCTCTTCCCAACCCACCTCTTAAGTGTCACATCACACCTTTGGAGATTGTAATCATTGGTAAATTCACGGTTAGTAGCAAGTGTTGATTTTTCAATGGCCAAACCTATTTATTCGTTGGCAATTCACACGACGAAAAGTTGGAATGATTTAACTAGATCCGAACTTTTCTGTGAAAGCTAAACAAATATTATAAACGAATATGCCTCAGGGGCGAACGAGTGAACAAAAATGGTCTGTTTAACATGTAAAGTACCCTTATAATTCGTAACAAGGGGTAGAGAGAGACTTGGCATACTTGAAATCATCAAAATAAACGCTTAAAGCCCCATTTTAAATTAAATACCATTAGAGTACGCATTATCAGTGTAAATACTTTTAGCGAACTCTAAAACGGTAACCCGTGAAAAACTTTTTACTTTTCATATTATAAAATACTAGTGCTTGCGCTTTGTGCTTTGCTTTGCTTGTGCTTGCGTGAGTATATTTTCTTTTTTACACAGTTTACCGGGAATGATCTTTTTAAAGAAAACATCGTATCGCCGCCGTTTGTTTTACATAGTAGAAAATATGCATACAAAGCAGAAAAAAAATTATTTTATAGAAAAACCGTTAAAGTAAGCACTTTTTAAATTAATTTTTGAACAGTTCTTGGTATGGTACAAATTTTCTACTTTCGTAGCACCTCCGCTAGATTTTATTTTGTCAAATATGCTGCAATTCCGGACTCTGGTCACAAAATGTCTGGTAATTTTATAATTTATTATTAATACCATACTGAGAAACTATCATTCATTATTAAAACATTGTCCTGATGCACAATTTTCCATAATAATGATGTTTACAACATTTTTATTTTAGCTACAATGTTTTATGTATTACATTGCAAGTATCGTTTTTCCCCGTATCACTCATTATATATTTTTATAAGCATTTCACGGCCAATTTGAAAATTGTTATTTTCATTGTCTACCGCAATGAATGTATAACAATGTTGGTATTAGTAATTCGCTAAATATTTATTTTTGGTATACAGAAAATGTACATTGTACATCAATACATTTAACTTGTCGCTGTCAAGGATGTTGTGATAAATTATTCCTAATTACTGAACTAATAATTACACATCACATTTTAACGTTTAAATTAAGATTTTGCTAACATTTTCCTACACCTAACTCTATTAATGAATAGGGGGGGGGACGTCCTCATATAATGCCAAATGCCATTCGATATGGTCGTTAAGCAACCGACGGTCAAGCTTTGATTTACCATAATAATTTACTAGAAAATCACCTTGGCTATTCCGGAACCGTGCGATGGAAATATTTTCAGCCGACCACCAAAATATATTGAAAAAATAGTAAGCACCTACCTACCTTCGGTCGTATTATTAAATGTTTGGTTCCGTTTTTTTTTTGTTATTTCCGGTGTTGGCAAGTTTGGTATTCCAGATGTAGTACCGCGTATAAGGGTTCATTTTTCAGTGATCACGAAAACCCTTCCAAACGCCCCCGCATGGCAGACGTATCCATTGTGTACACCGGACGTCATACGTGAGCAG